TCAGTAAAGAAGAAGATCGGATTAAGAGACATCATTTAAGGTAAGTGCTAGCATTAACATGAGGGGGAGGGAATTTTTTTTTTGACTTTATGGTGACTTTAAGATAAAAATTCAGAAGCATGGCAATGCATGTGAACCTCCCTGGTCCCTAACTATATCTCTATATCCATCTTAATGTATTTTTGGATATAAAGATATAGTTAGGGTCCAGAGAGGTTCACTTGCATTGCCGTGCTTCTGACTTTTTATCCTAAATTCTTTTATATATTTTGTTATAGTTTGTCTTTTAATGCATTGGATTAAAAAAAATTGACATCATTTTATAAATAGTGTAGTTTTATCAATTAAGTTTACGAGTATTAATTTAAAGCCCCCTTCACAATATTGAATCTAGACTATGAGTTGCAGAAAGTCATATTTCTTTTAACAATGCATTTAGTTTACTTTAAAGTGTATTTCAGGGCAAAATAAAAATATATATGCAGTACATCTCTGCAATGCATACGTGATTCCTTTATGATTTATCCCTTTAAAGGCCCTGCAAGCACAGAAAAATACCTGGCCCTGCATTCTACATGATGATGTCAGAGAGCTGCAACTGGTCAAGGAAGCAAAGAGAAGCAGCTTTAGGGGACCAATGTACAGTGGGGGGGAAATGCTGCAGAAGCAGCTGGGCTTCTGGTGTGTCCCTGTGCCTTATAAGATGTTGGGCTACCTCCTGGCAAGCCCGCACCCAATTCATCATTTGCTATACCGTATATGCTCCAAGATGGAGGCTCTCATAGATTAGAGTTAGGACCACACTACACAGAGGGGCTTTGACGAGGCAGTGTGGCTTCAACGTATTTTGCAAAAGTTGTGCAACTACAACTTCTGTTTTTAACCCTAACAGTTAGTTTATTTTTTTGCAGTTTGGCTGGTGAGTGTGCTGGGAAATTTTTGCTTTTGTGCAGTTAGGGCTTGGTCACACCATATCCGCTGAGCTGAGTTTTTCTGCAAACCACCAAAAATGTACCATGTGAACAAGGCACACAGAAAGCAATTGTTCTGCTCTACAGACACCTTGCAGTGTGGAGGGGGGACCCAATGCAAGGGTAACCTTTTCTCCAGTCCGGAGTTCATCATTAAATAACCTAGCAACATGTTTAGTTTAGATCTGTGTAGGTTCTGGTTTCAATTCATGCTCTAAAACAAAACTGTTTTGTTTATCAGGGCTACCAAGGAAGCACTGAAAATGTGCATATGGGCACTAGGCCAACAAATTAGCACCCTTAGTCTATATTTGTAGAGGAAGGGACAGGAAAAGTCAGCACAGAGGCAGGTACACACAAAGTGACGTGGAGCCCATCAGATCAGTTTTCCGATTATCCAGCCGAAAGTGACAACTTATTTTTGCCAAGTATTACATGGGGTTTAAAGGAGAATTACGGGATGAGTGAAATACATCAGGCAGCGGGGGTTGGATCCCGACAATATTGTTGGGATCCGTCTCAGCTGCAGCGTAGCCCGCGATATGCTGAGTTTTGGGTCACAGAGGAACATTAGTAAATATCCTCCTGTGACCCTAAAGAGAACTATGGCCAAAAATCAATGCATAGAAAATGAGAATGCCAGCAAAAGCAGAATTTAACTAACTGGTTAGATGTCTTAGGAATGCACAAACATTTCAATTATCAACACAATTAATTTTAGTTTCTTCAGTAATGTGATATATCTGATCTGCAGAGAAAGCGGACAGTGCTAGTACCAAATGTAAGCACTGGAGCCTGAATGTCAATGGACTGACTGCACAGTGCACCAATTAACCATATTAATACAATAGATGACATTCAGTAAGAAGCCAATTAGAGCAACAGGAGAATTCCAGTTTGCTTCCTACTGGCTTAAACAAAGAGTGTACCCAAATACGCAAACATTGACACACAATCCCTTAGCAAATATGTTGTCTATTTCTCTACCATTTTTCTCAAATATTACTAAGAATAAGTAAACACAAGCAGATACAGACAGAGTGACAAAGAGCTCAAGCGAGTATCCCAGAATGCTAATATTGAGTTATCATAGTTTCTTTACTGGTACTTTCTGGGGATCGTTTCTTCACATTATAATCCCTAATGACGTTCTAGTCAAGTGAGAACCATTAAGAGTCTGCAGCTTTGTCTCTTTTGGGCACCCACTAAATTGTGAAATGTTAGTACACAATTAAAATATCAAAAAATGTAAATAGTCCTTTAGTTCTACAGACAGATATATGTACAGCATTGTCTTCTTATTATCCCACCTTCATGAATCTCAAAATGCTAATTCTTGGTCAAAAGGTTTCTGCTATCCACACAGAAAGTGGAAAAGGTGTGCACCCCTTTCAGCTGCTGACCAGTGGAGATCCCACAGCTTGTATATCAACAACAGACAAAATGAGCGATCTGTAATGAGCCACTAAATAGCTTCGTAGTCACCATTGCTTACGTTCAGCTATAGAGGAATACGAATCCCACCATCCCAGCATTACATTATAGAGCACCATGTGTGGTAAAGTGCAGGCTTACCTGAGCAGTCTTCCAGCAACTTGCTTCTGAGATCGGGCCCGTCTGTCGGCGGCTGTCATCCCCTCACGCCTGCTCCTCCTTACTTCTTCTCCCCGCGTCCCTGTGCCGATCGTGGATATGGGCGGTGCGCGTGAGATGGGGGGAGGTGCGGTGTGTGGATGCGGGCGAGGGGGTCTGGCAGCAGCAAGGGTGAGGCAGGATGATTGAAAATGTTGACAACTTTTTCAATCATCGATTATAATCGACTTAGTCGATTAGTTGTTGCAGCCCTGCATTCATCCTCGATTTCTGGGCACAGTCCCCGGATTCAGGAGACCGTCCCCTGACGGTCACCTGATTATGTCACCTGATAGAGTCTTATAGCACGTCCTGGCCAATGAATAACAACTGGGTGTAGCCGGCCATAACGTCACGGCTGGCCTTGCCTATTTGTTATTGTTTAATGACAAATCAGCGTCCCCAGGTAATTTGGGGACGCTGATCTGTCATTACAACTAGGTGGAGCGAGATCACGACTGGCTCCGCCCAGCTTCATTTGCGAGGCGAACGGCCGGCCCTTCTCCCCGCTTCAGCTATCACTTCGGCTCAGTCAAGTCGAAGCACATGCCTTCGGCACGGCTGAGCCGGTCGGCCGTCTTCAGCTGCTGTATGGGCTATTGTGAATAGCCCGTACAGCAGCCCGCTCCGGCGGCCAACGAGAGTCGAAGGATCAGCCGAAGCATGAACTGGCCCTTTCAAATCCCCCACATTTCAATGGAATTCAAATCATGCACTTTTTGAGCCATTCCTATGTGGATTCTCTAGTGTACTTCAGATCAGTACCATGTTAAAAGAGGCAGTTTGAATTCAACTTTTGGACAGATGGCCTCACATTCTGATTAGGCACATTTTATATGATACAGAATTCATAGCTGACCAGATGACTACAAGCTACCCAGGCCCAGAAGCAGCAAAGCAACCCAAAACTATAATATTTTTACCCTCTTACTTCACAGTTGTTATGAGGTTCCTCTCCTAAAAAGCTTTATTTAGTAGGCGCCAAATATAGTGTAACTATGGCCAAGCAACTCTGTCTTGGATTGATCAGTTCACAGCAAATTGTTTTAGAAGGCATGATGACATAACACATGTCAATATCAAAGAGAACACCAGACCCTAGATATCTGTGGTTTATACAAAACAGTTTCTACCTGCATACATTAGATTATGGAAATTAATACATTGTGTCAATTTTATATGTCATTAGTTTAAGTACATCAACTTAATCTATAGCCACTGTTTGAATTAAGTTCTAATGTTTTTCTGTTTAAATATGTTGAAAAATGTATCCATAGGATGTACTTACCCTGTGTTCCCTAGAACATCTGTTCGCTGATTGTCCCGGCACTGAATGAAGCTGGAAGCGACAAGCATTTTGTCACTTCTGGTTTCACAGCTATGCTTGATTAGCTTCATTCGAGTGAAAAGGTAACATTAAGTTCTGCCCAGAATATCTTTTGCAGGGCACTAGCACCCCTAGATGGCGCTGATGAGTATTGAAAATTCCTATACGCTGGGCAGACCTTTTATAAATTAACCCCTAATGTCTCTTTAAAAGAGAACTTGTCACCTACAATGTGACTTACGTGATAGCAAGAAATTTAAGTGCAAAAATAAAATTTATTTTTTTAATTCCCCCCTGCAGAGAGCAGTGGCTGTCAGTCACTAACCCCCACCTTTCACGGATCCCACCTTCCTTTCTCTTATTGTCCAGCACTCATTGGGTGGGACAGACAGGGGAGAGGGGAGGGCTGTCTCTGGCTCTAGAGAGGTGGGTGGATCCCAGCAATATTGTTGGGATCCTGATTGGCTGCAGTGCAGCTCTGCACTGTCAGGTGATAGCGGGCATTAGCCCGCTATCTGCCGCCTATGAGTCACAGGAGGTCATAAGTAAATGTATTCCTGTGACCCAAAAGAGAAATAAAGTTGAAAATAAATAGAGGTTTACTTCTCTTCTATTAAAATACAGTGGGGAAAAAAAAAAGGTGAAAACAAGAAAAATAAAAGGTAACAGTTTTCTGACACACAGAGGGGAATTTGTCAAAACTGGAGCAGACAACATCTGGAGCAGCTGTGCACGGCAACCAATCAGCTTCTCTCGTTCATTTTCAAATCTTAATTGAACAAACTGAAGAGAGATGCTGATTGGTTGCCATGGGCAACTGCTCCAGATTCTGTCTGCTTCAGTTGTGATAATTATCCCTCAGAGTTTTAGAAAAGGAAATATTTAGTTAAGGTGTCCATCTACTTTAGGGCTGTCAATACGCAGCCACTTATCATTAGCAAGGAAGCAAAATTGCAACAAAATACATTTTGTTATACGCAGGTTTCCTTAATAAAACAGTGGCATCACTCAGTGAAAAAACGTTCAGCTCCACAGACTCGGCAGAGGAAGGGCATGTCAAAACATTTTACCTGACAGACATATTTGTTCTTCCATTTACTGAGCACACACTCACTGCTCTGCATCAGCTCCTGTAGGACAAGAGAAAACAGTGAGCTCTAGAGAGTCGGCTGTGTACATTGTTCGCACTGCTTTAAGTGCTTCAGGTTTTCAAGCAGAGAGAGATTAGCATGCCACATAAACAAAGATGCAACTGTTTCAGAACAGTTCTCTAGACAAAAGCACTGTTATCATCACTGTGATGCCTGATCCTTTATGAAAATTAAAGCTGCTGAAAGGTGATTGAAAGGAGGATTGTTTGCTGCCATTCTTGTAACTTTCTCAAAAAACATACCTCCAGCTCCATGAGATTGTCTCGAAGCTTTTCTGGACGCTTGTTCTTCAGGACCCAAGGAAAACCCAGAGCTTTAAAAAAAAAAATGTAAAATTAAAAAACATTATTGGCATAATGGTAACCAGTAAGCTGAATTGTACAGGGATATAAAACCGCTAATTAATGCAGTTATTTACTCATTAAAAAAAGTAATGTTTAGTGTTTTAATCTGAATTCATTTTTATATCGGTCTCAGAACAGCCCTGTACTACAGCCCGTAGACTGGGAGAATATCTGCAGCACTCACAGCCAATCAGACTTCACCGCAGTGCATATGTGCTATAAGTATGCTGATAGAAGGAAAGAACAGAGAAATGACTTTGTGCTGCTTCATTGCACAATCAGCAGGCCAGCCATGTGATTTGACAAGTGATATTGACCAAAATGTGCTGCAAAGGAGGCTAAGGATCTGGCTGTGCTGTCTGGCTTGGGTGGGTAAATCCTACATATATGTAGTTCAACTGTGTAAGCTGCTTGTCAGGAGCTGAACTTTAATTAGGCTGGGTTCACACCTAGGCGTATCGAATATGCGCATTTGTCGCGAGTTTCGTGCCGCGCGTTTTTTTACCGCGAATCGGATTTCCAAGGGCTACCTGGCTGTATCCCAATGGATACGCACGGCAAATACACCCCAAAGAAGCTCCTGTATTCTTTGGGCGTAGGGCGTTTTGTAGCGCATTCATACGGCCTGTAATACGCCCAGGTGTGAACCATACCCATAGGAAATAATGGGATTTCTGTGTTTGAGCGTTTTGCAGAGCGTAGGAACGCGCTACAAAACGCCCAGGTGTGAACCGGGCCTTATGGTTAACAAGATTCTAGAACAAATAAATTCAGACCTCAATCCAGCTAATCATTTTCAAGCAGTACGGCAATGTTTTTGGGGGTTTTTTTTGAAAAAAAAAGTTGAGATAGCATCTATAGGCAGGACCGACAGGTTACAAGTGTATGTTACAGGAGTTTAGGAAAAAAACAAAATAATGGTAATGTTAATGCTTTTGACAGGCTGCATCATATATGTCATTTTTTATTTTGCCCATAGTTATCCTTTAACTGTTGTTTGAAATCACTAAATACAAACAATAAAAACAAAACTTTTAATTTCAGGAAAATAATTATGTAGTTTCAGTGTAATAAACATATGAATTATATAAATTATTATTTTTCATAATAATACAATTATTATTATTATAACAAGGAAAATCTAATTGCTGTTTTTTAAAATCTTTTATATGTTTATTTAATTGTATATTAAATAAATTCACATAGAGCTGACACTTCAAGTGACATGGAAGAGGAATGTAGAAGATATTAAATAGCATTTCACATACATTACAAAATTCACAGGGGCATGTATACAAAGTTGTGTCCTCATTAAGACGTAAGGAAATAATCATTGCTACCCACATATCACAGTCGCATACTTAGTCCGTCTAGTTGTACTTTTACAGCTGGATGAGTCTAATATCCTTGTACATAATAGTATTAATATCTAATAGCATTACCTTAATGCTATTGTGTTCTTAAACTCTAGTACACCGTATATAGTTCTTATTTGATTTCTATATCTGTTTGCCTAATATTGATATAAAAGAATTACTGAGAAGCAGAGCTTTGCTTTACATTGAAAGTACAAGCCACCCATCCTGATCACATTGCTCCCTTGTCACAAAACATTATAAATTAACATTATTTAGCATGTAGCCATTTGGAACAGCCGCCTGCATCTGAGGACCCCAAAATTCAATAGGTTGCCCAGCGCTGCTTTAATATTTACAAAAAGTGAAAGTGATCAAATGTATCATGACAGCCTGTGTGCCAGCAAATATGAGAGGAGCAACAAATGAATACAGTAATACACTGCTGTCTTCTCTGGTATTCGGGGGATTAAAGCAGATTTAGTATTTCACATAACCTTTTTGTAAGAGGATCAGGAGAAGATGAATGCTCTGCAGCCTCCTATCTGCAGACGCTGGAAAGGCAGAAAGCAGTAGCTTCGTCATTAGAACTGCAAAATCCATGTATTACCATTAACAGATGTCAAAACAAAAATATGCACCTTCCTTCAAGCTTAAAGAGAAGCTACTGTGGCTTTTTCCTCAATGTTATTTTCATTTTTTAATGTGTACATGTTTATTAGCTGATTATATATTATTTCCATTACTTGTATAAAATGTTTATTTGTAGAATAAAGGTTTTATGCAAGTAATGAAAAAAATATATACAGAATTGATTTACTAAAGGAGACGATTATTTTCACTTTGCAGTGAATTTAACTAGTTAGCTTAGTGAACGAGGTGATTAAGTGCTGACTTTAATCATCCAATCATGTGCAAGAAAACAATCCAGTTTTTTTTCTTCTCTCTTGCACATGATGGGGTATTCTTTGCAAAGTGATTTTTACTTACCTTTACCTCATTCGCTAAGCTAAGTTAAAAATGTACTTTGCAGAGTGAACATGCTTTACTCCTTCAGTAAATCATCCACCACTATGTTTGCACAGTATTTCTAATGAGAAAACCAAGCACTGACTGCTCACTTTTTTTTTTAGAACTGTCGCTTTTATTAATTAAACAGTTTACATAACGGAATATATAACAACAGAAGCAGTAGAGTATAGGGTGCAAAGTATGACATAAAAAGAAAAACAACAGATGTCCTTGTACAGACAATCAACGGGCTAAATAACAGTAAGTGTGCTATTATCCGCATGAGAAAATAGATAATTAGCAATCTAAATGCTGTGTATTGTAAGAGCAATTGTTGCAGTTTAACATTATGAAAAACATCATCCATAAACAAGAGTTATAAGAGAAAGGAAAAAGAAAACAGAAAGATAAAACAAGAAGAGGAGAGGAGAAGAGGGAAGGGGAGGG